CATGATGGAATCCCTAAAAGGTTCTAAACATGATGCGCATGACAGAACCCTTTAAGATTCCATACAGAACCTTTTCTTCTAAGAGTGTCTATTTGTGCTACTGTACCTTTAAGAAACACACACATGTAATGAGTCAGTCAGCACAGAAATCTGCCACTTAAACACTTCAGATCAGACTGAAATGAGTTTTAAAGTTAAGAAGGATATTCACGAGGATCAACAGCACAAGCTTTACCATGTTTTACTCTAAAGTTTAGGCCTTAATGTTTATTTCCTTATAGTACTTAAGAGGGAGATGTGCGATTGCCACCGAGTCACAAATCACTGCTGGAGAGAAAACAGAAGCAAAGTCACATTTCTCAAATCCAAATCCTCCTCAACAACCTGTTCCTGTAATGCAAGAATCCGTTTAACATACGCTGAGCTTTACTTCACCAGCTGTCTGGAAGCGCTGATATATTTCACTCCAACACAAGACAAATAAAGTGACGGATTGTTCTGTAACATCCACTTCGCCAATTATCCCATTCCCATAGAACTCTGCATGTCTCTCGTCTCATTTCATTCCCGCATTTTCTGTCTGCGTTACAGTCGCGTCACATTCGTGAACTGTATCAATAATTCAGCGGTACATACTGCAGCAAACAGGGCCATGTGTTTGAATATGAAATCAATTAAGCGCACAAACACACTCGCTCATAAACACGCAGCCTCATGAATAATATGTCTTGCTCTCAGGAGGATCGTTTGCCCTGGATTCTTCACAGGGCGACTCGACGCAAGCCGACCATGTGCCAGCATCGTGTGTGTGTGTGTGTGTGTGTGTGGACAGATGGGGGAGGAGACGCTTCTCCTGCTTTCTCAGAGTGATTTAAAAGCAGGAAGAAAGCACTCATCTCATTTATCGCTCTCTTGTGTCTCTGTACTGTATCACTATAGCAGAAATCACATACATGCGCAATGAAACATGCACTAGTGTCAACATGTTGGCTGGTAAACATTATGATATCATAAATCTATACAGTTTTGCATGGTGTTTTAGATATTGCTCATACTAAATGACTAATTTACAATTTTACACGTGAATCTGTCAAATCAATCATTATCATATTATAAAATATAGCAGAAAAGATAAATCATTTTAAAAGTCCCCCTGTGGTGAAAATCAAGCCCTTAATTTTGTTTATATGTCTATGTGGTGTTTTTAATATGCTTAAAGACAAATCATGTGCAAATTCCTGAGTCAACACCATTGCTGAGTATTTTCTCCTTAAAACTGCAGTGAACCAAAGACAGTCTCAAAAACACGGTTTGAAATCGCTGGTGTTTCTGACGTCACAAACTACCTTGTAACCAATCAAATCAACGTGTGATCGTCAACCAGTGGATCTCTGAGCTGAGCTGAGTGAGTGAGTGGAGGCGGGGCTCATTTGCATATTCATAGAGCAGCGAATACTAAATGAGGCAAGGGTGTAGAGTTACATTCAAGATATTTTAAGGCATGAAGACATTGAAATATGTTATATGATGATCAATGATGTAAGGGATGAAATTATTGATTACAGGGTGACTTTAATACTTATGAATCACAGTACAGAAAAGTCCATTATATACTTAAAACATCAGCGAATTCAAACCAATTTTGACAATTTAAAATTTAGCTGATTTTATTGGAAAAGGATATGTAGAAACCAATATACCAAGCATTGCTAACAAAATACTGATATGTAGAAGCCAATATATCAAGCATAGCTAAATAAAATACTGATACACAGAAACCGATACACCACCATTGCTAATACAATATAGATATGTAGGAAATCAAGCATAGCTAATAAAAAACTGATATGTAGAAACCGAAATCTCAAGCATAGTTAATAAAATTCAGATATGTAGAAACCAATATTTCAAGCATTGCTAATAAAATACAGATATGCAGAAACCAATATATCAAGCATTGTTATAAAAAAATACAGATATGTATAAACAAATATACATCAAGCATTGTCAATAAAATACAGATATGTAGAAACCGATATATCAAGGATTGTTAATAAAATAGAGATATGTAGAAACCGATATCTCAAGCATTGCTAATAAAATACTTATATGTTGAAACTGATATATCAAGCTTTTTTAATAAAACGCCAATATATCAAGAATTGCGAATAAAATACAGCTATATCGAAACCGATATCTCAAGCATTCTTAATAAAATACCAATATGTAGAAACCGATATATATAGCATTGCTAATACAGACATGCAGAAACCGATATATCAAGCATTGCTAATACAGACATGTAGAAACCGATATATCAAGCATAGCAAATAAAATACTGATATGTAGAAACCGATATATCAAGCATTTGCTAATAAAATACTGATATGTAGAAACCGATATATCAAGGGTTGCTAATAAAATACAGATATGTAGAAACTGATATATCAAGCATTTGCAAATAAAATCCCAATATATAGAAACCGATATATCAAGCATTGCTAATAAAAAATAGATATGTAGAAACCGATATCTCAAGAATTGCTAATAAAATACCAATATGTAGAAACCGATATATCAAGCATTTGCTAATAAAATACCGATATGCAGAAACCGATATATCAAGCATTGCTAATAAAATACTGATATGTAGAAACCGATATATCAAGGATTTGCTAATAAAATACTGATATGTAGAAACCGATATATCAAGCATTGCTAATAAAATACTGATATGTAGAAACCGATATATCAAGGATTAGCTAATAAAATACCGATATGTAGAAACCGATATATCAAGCATTGCTAATAAAATACTGATATGTAGAAACCGATATATCAAGCATTGCTAATAAAGTACTGATATGTAGAAACCGATATATCAAGCATTGCTAATAAAATACTGATATGTAGAAACCAATATATCAAGGATTTGCTAATAAAATACTGATATGTAGAAACCTATATATCAAGGATTGCTAATAAAATACAGATATGTAGAAACCGATATATCAAGGATTGCTAATAAAATACAGATATGTAGAAACCGATATATCAAGCATTGCTAATAAAATACTGATATGTAGAAACCGATTTATCAAGCATTGCTAATAAAATACTGATGATATGTAGAAACCGATATATCAAGCATTGCTAATAAAATACTGATATGTAGAAACCGATATATCAAGCATTGCTAATAAAATACTGATATGTAGAAACCGATATATCAAGCATTGCTAATAAAATACTGATATGTAGAAACCGATATCTCAAGCATTGCTAATAAAATACTAATATGTAGAAACCGATATATCAAGCAATGCTAATAAAATACCGATATGTAGAAACCGATATATCAAGCATTGCTAATAAAATACTGATATGTAGAAACCGATATATCAAGCATTGCTAATAAAATACTGATATGTAGAAACCGATATATCAAGCATTGCTAATAAAATACTGATATGTAGAAACCGATATATCAAGCATTGCTAATAAAATACTGATATGTAGAAACCGATATATCAAGCATTGCTAATAAAATACAGATATGTAGAAAGAAACCGATATATCAAGCAATGCTAATAAAAATAAGACATTTTGATACTGATATTTATTTTTATGTTATTACTAATAAACAATATATTATAAATCTATAATTTTGCATGATGGTTTTAAATAGTATTATACTGAAGCTCTAATATACAATTTTCCATGCAAATCTGTCAAATTAAATATTAAAATATTATAATATATAGCATAAAAGATAAATAATTTTAACACTTATAAAATCCCAATACAGAAAAAGACCATTATCTTCTTAAAACATCAGCAAATTAAGACCGATATGGATGATTTAAAATGTAAATGTTTATATCGGTTGATATGGATTTGTAGAAACCGATATTTCAAACATTGCCAAAAAAATTTAAAAGACATGTGACACTTAAACCAAACTAATCTAATGACTAATTCAACAAAGTTAATTAAGAACATTGATCAAGTGATGTAACACAAGCAGCTCCTGAATAATTCATGAGAGCATCTGCATATGCTAATATTGGTGATGAGGAGATGCAATTAATATTATTAAAATTAATGTGCATGTCAAATATATGTAAGTTGTATCTATAAATGAAAACACAAATGACACACAATCTAATGTCAAACAACTAGATACTAGATACACACGACCAATTTATATGAACAATAAAATGTCAATATAATATAGCACATAAGATTAAAAACTGCTATAGAAAATTAATTTACTTATTGGAGTAGAAAAATAGTAGCATTGATACTATTTGCACCCAAATATCGGCTGGTTTTCACCTGATATTCAGGGGAAAAAATACAGATATAAAAAATAAAAACAATAAAAACTGCACGATCACCAATATTTATATGGTCACTAAAGAATGATGCATCTTTAATACAATCTTCAAAAACAAAACCCGCTGACTTTAACATCCAGTGAAGAATCTAATGACTTATTCTACAAAGTAATTTAAGTTAATTAAAAACAGTGTTTAGTAATTTAACAGGGAAAAGTCACGGAAAATCCTGAATCATTCATGAGAGTTTCTGCATAATATTGCATAAAAATCTGCATAAGTCTGCTAATTATGACCTAAAATGAATGACAGAATTGTGTCTGGAGCACATCTCAAAACAGTTTCCGTTTTGTGGTTGTAAAACATTCCCAGAATGAATTCACAATGAAATTCCAAAACGGATACTAAACTACAACACTAGATACAACCAACAACTAGTGACAAAATGACCATGTAAGAAAGTAAATTGAGTCTAAACGACAGAGCGGACGTGGAATAAAAGCATGGAAAAGTGGAGTAAAAGCGGAGCGCTGACCCCGAACAGAAAAGGGGTCAGAGGTCAGGATGAAAAAAAAAAAAAAACGCATGTTCGTTCACTCGCGCAGGAATGAAATACGAGAAAGGAGTGTATAAGAGCGGAGGCAGCGGGAGGATCCTTACCTCGGATAAGTAGAGGAACGCGGGAGGAGCGTGCAGGGAATGAGGCATCATCCCGGACCCGGACAGAAGCACGCATGCAGAGTTTGCCATGGAGCTCAAAGATGAAGATTTCCACATTTAACCACACACACACACGTCTCTCTCTCTGTCTCTATCTGTGTGTCTCTCGCTCCTGCTGGATAAGCACGGCTTCCCTCGCTCGCTCTCTGTTTACTCTGCACACAATAAAGATCACTTAAACATCCACATGCGGAGGTGGGAGGTGCATGAGAGCAGTGTGTGTGTGTGTGTGTGATCGTATAGCAGCGCTGCGTGTGTGCTTTAATTGCCCACGACCCCCTTTTGAGCCCAACACTCACAAAGACCCCTGAAATCACACTCAAGGACACACACACACACACATAAACGAGGACATGCTACAGACTTCTGCTGCTTTTAAAGCTAATTATAGTCACTACACATCCTTAACATGACATTCATCATTTTGCTTCGATGCAAAACAACTAAAAAAAATACATACGTTGAATACGCTCTTAAAAAAATAAAGGTTCCAATAGGGGTGTTTTCACAGTGATGTCATTGAAGAACCATTTTTGGTTCCCTAAAGAACCTTTCAGCGATCAGGTCTTAAAATAACCTTTTTTTCTTCTTCTTAGTGTGAAGAACATTTTTTTTTATAATTTAAAGAACCCTTTTGTGGAATGGAAAGATTCCACTGATGTAAAAGACAACAATAAAGAACCTCAGTTTGTCATTTGTGTGTATATTTTTACTTCATCTATGAATTATTTTTAGTAGTTTTGCATTGAAGCATCAGCTAAATAATGAATGTCATGTTAAGGATGTGTAGTGACATTGTCATCAAAGGAAGGTCATGTCAGGCATTGTTTTTCCAACCAAATGTGTCTCAACTAAAAGCTTTACATGCATTTTACAATATTTTCTAGATTTAGCTTTAGGAGTGCATTTATTTTTGCTATTAATAAGCTTTATACATAAAAACAAGTTTGATTCATCTCTAATTGAGAACTCCAAGGATGACAACTTTAACGATAAAGATATAGATCTAAAAATCGTTCTCAATATTAAATAATAGGAGTCGACACCACAACTATAACGATAACGGCACAGAGAAACAATATCAATTGAATCACTTTCAGAACGATTTTTTTTCCAGATACCGAACGATAAAAACATCGATAGTCAATCAGAAACCATTCCTCTTTAAAGAACTCAAGCATTTAAAGCGGCAGACGACAAAACCGCAGTGAAACAGAACGATATCGCGAGTTGGTGTGGACGCTAAAATAGTTATCGTTATGGTTATCTCTATAGATATCGTTCTTGGTGTGAACAGGCCTTTACACTGTTCAAATATTCAACGCAAAGCTGCAATGACATCATTATAATTCTGCATACAGACTTCTGTTTGGTCATTTATTTTTGATGCTGCAAAGATGGTGTTACTTTAGTTTTGGGATCAGTACGAAAATAAAAATGAATGCTTTTATTCAGCAAGGACTTTAACTGATCAAATTTAAATAAATAAAAAATTACTGTAAAGACATTTATAATGTTACAAAAGAGTTCTATTTCAAATAAATGCTGTTCAATTTACCTTTATAATCATCAGATATGTATCACGGTTTCCACAAAAATATGAAGCTGCGCAACCGTTTTCAACATTGATAATAATTATAAATGTTTCTTGATCATCAGATCATCATATTTAATTAGAGTGATTTCTGAAGGATCATTTGACACTGAAGACTGGAGTAACGATGCTGGAAATTCAGCTTTGATCACAGGAATAAAATACATTTTAACATATATTCACGTGATATTTTAATTTGTAACAATATTTCACAATATTACTGTTTTTCTTTATCAAATAAATGCAGCCTTGGCGAGCAGAAGAGACTTTTTTTCACAAACAATACAACATCTTACTGACCAACAAACTACTGAATGTTAGTGTTGGATGGAGAAGAACGCGTAAGATCTGTTTCAAGAGTGTGTAAAGAAGAAAATCCATCAGGAATACAGCACAACTTGACCTGTCTGTCAACAAGCACCTCGGATGTCCTCAACTCACTTACAGTACACACTTTACACTTACAGTACACTCTCTAGATGCTTCATGCACCATTGAAATCAATAGATTCACAGTGCTCTCTGACGCCTAGTAAGTGCCCTCAAGCATTCGCTCCTGTCTGCAACAACAACAACATGCACACTGAGCGCATCATCATCTCATTCAGGACTAAAAGACAAAGCATCACTATTCATCTGCTATCTAACAAACACTGATGTTCCCTTCAGGAGATGCAGATCTATATTTCTGCTTGTTGAAGTTTTTTTTCAGTGCAATACTGTATCCAAGGGCATGAAACTAGATCACAAACCAATATTTTCTATACGCTCTGCACATAAAACTGAGATATATAATTATTTTAACAGCCAAATTGAGACCAAATCTTGATTATTTATCATGTTTTTCATGTGCAGATTTTCTTTTTTAAGACTGTTAACTGTTTACATCCACTCACACATAAGCGGAGGCATCAATCAAACGGTGTGTGTCAGTAACAGATGTTCTGTGTAAGGAGCCCATCACACACACACATACACACTAATGTGATTTCACTACAAATTACATCACTGCGACGCTGTCTCTCTCTGTGTGTGTGTGTGTGTGTGTGTGTGTGTCCGTTCAGCAGGAGGTTTGTCTGTGACACTGATGTGTAACACTTCATTTGAGCCGCATCTCACACTCATACGATCACATGACCACACACTCGCCTGTCAGGGATGTTAACAGACAGGGTACAAATCTAAGACCAAAACAACTGATTTGACAACAGTTTAAAGTCAGCACAAAACGGAAGTTGCACTGGTTATTTCTTCCCAATAGTGACGTATATCCGAGTGAAAAAGCTTCTGGAACAAGAACAAATGTCTCAATTTGATTTTCTATGAAGCAAAAAGCAGTTTTTTCTAAATGTTTCAATGTGTTTATGTAGAGCTACATTAATCCCCCTAGTGTGCAACTTAGTTACATTTTGTTTTTTTGTATACTGTTGTATTTGTAACATTTTTTTTGTTAATAATATATATATATATATATATTTAAAAACAAGAACAAATGTTGGGCGGGGCTTGATGCGGTCTGTGAGGAATTGATTGGATGGTTGTGGTTTGCTATTGGCTGATCTCATGTGATTGACAGGTTGCCCCGCCCTCGTCATCAGAGAAAAGAAGAAGGTTGGGATGTTTACGAGGAAAGATTGCGAGGAACATAAATAATGAATTATAATAAATGTATAATAAATACTACAATATTCCCCCCAAAAATATATAAGAATAGTCCCTTTTGTGGTTTCATGGTGTCTTTAATAAACTAAAATGTGTTAATGCAAGTTAAAAACTAAAGTAAAAACTATGCTTTTGCATGTAACTAGGCTGTGTGAAACAATGGATTTGAATTAAATATAAACAAAACTGAAACAAAATTCCAAAAAAGTAAATTATTGAAATAAAAACAAATGAAAACTATTATAACCTATCATTTGTGCTATTATTATTTTGTCTAAAAATGCATCAAACTGTTCAGCATCTCTCACCATTATCATTGTGTGTTTAAGGCGAGATTTTGGTCAGTTTTGCTTCAATGTCTTCCAGTCTAGTGGACAGAAAGCATGCAAAGTACACATTTAAGTGTTTATTTTATTAGACTTTTATCAATTTGCGTCTGTAGATTTCAAATACAATACATATCTTTAAAGTTTTTTTCTCCACTTCAGCATTACTTATATACTCCAAACTTTACAGTTTTATTCCTGACTATATTCTGAAGGTTTTTACTGAGGGGTTTCTTTATATATCATTCTTACTGATTTATATAACATTTTATTCCTAAAAGCATGTTTTTTTCTGGCTGTTGACAGCATTTTCTGATTTATAGAGTGATAAAAAGTTGATATCCAAAATCCCTTCAGTAAAAACCTTTAGCGCTAATATGTCAACAAAATGAAACAAGAATTTTGAACTTGGCTTTAACCAATGTTCAGATTAATCTTCAGATGCTTCTGCTTAAATGTTTCAAATAAGTTATGTAGACAAATATAAATGTTGTGTTTATGTATACATTTCTTTACAAAACTTTTACAAAAAAAACAACCTTTTGATCTAAAGTCTGCTGTCTAAATGTTTCAAATAAGGTTTGTAGACAAATATAAATGTTGTGTTTACATTCCGTTTCATATACATTTCTTTACAAACAGTTTACAAAAACCTTTTGATCTAAAGGCTTTTTCTTAAATGCCTCAAATGAGTTGTGCAGACAAATATAAATGTAAATAAATATACATTTCTTTCACTATCCATTTCTTTACAAAACTTCTACAAAAAAATGTACTAGTACTGGGGGTTTGTGAGTTGATAAAAATGTTAATATTTAATGAAATCATTCAATTTAAATGAAAGAATATTCAAATAAATAAAATAAGACATTTTATATAAAAAAATATGAACAAAAAAATAAATTTTCAGAGATCAGAGAACTGTGAACATGCAAGTGCAATGTTACATTTTTGAAATATTAACTTATAATACCATGGGGTACTTCAAGAAAACATGTCAAGTGGTTCACCTGACAAAAGAATCCCTGATCTAAAATGTAACATAATAATAAATAATGAGTAAACGTGTCCAAACGTTTGAATGGTAGCTTAACATTTACATTTATTCATTTAGCGGATGCTATAATCCAAAGCGACTTGAGGAATGAAAATGAGGAATACAAGTGATTGGTTTTCAGTTGTTTCTTGAATATGGTCATGATTCGACGTTCTGGATAGGGTTGTGAAGACCAGCTTTACTAGTTTTATTTTAATTCAGAATTTAATATTGACAATGTAGCAGCATCATTCATGTTGACAGCTGTTAATGAACATCTGTGTCGAGTACAGCCTCTTCGTGTCTAACTCAAATGTTAAAAGCATGTAACTGTCATTTTGTGTGAACGTTTAGTAAGCAAAAACCATGAAAATATGAAGGTTTCTAAATAAAACATGAAGAAGAGTCTCGCAGGATCGTGTGGTCATACTTTGTGTTAAAAAAAGTCCCATAATATGTAGCTAAATCTGACAAAACCTCCAAGAACATTTGATTCATAGATAAATAAGATTCATAAATAAATATTATAGTTTTGCTTTAGTTTGG